CTTGTCAAAGTGTTGAATTAATTTATATTTTTTAGATGATTAAGTTATTGCAATCGTATGACTTGCAAACTTGTCATGTAATTAATTGTAAATGGTAAAATACACTAGCTAATAGTTATTGTGATATCAATATTTCCATCCAATCATCTTAAACCACAAATGATTGTTGAAACTAATAGTTCATTTAGTTATTAAAGCATTAAACAATCACATATATATGGTGACTTCTGGCGTACACCAGGCAAAAGCTGTGTATGTCGTACACTAGGCAATCTCCACCGTAAGTGTCCATCCCACTAAAAAACAAAACACACAATGATGCTGTCTTTTGAAATAGACGCGTGCGTTGTAGATTTGCCTGGTGTAAGACATACGCCAGTTTTTCCCTGGTGTACGATAGAACCATCAATACACACACTATATATATATATATATATATATACATATAGGGTAATGACTGGTATACTCCAGGAGTATAGTATACTCCAAGTGATCTGGCCGTTAGATCTCCTTTTTTTTTTGCTCCGGCCAATCTCAACGGTCAATTAGTATTTTTTATTTATTAAATTGAACTTCTGGTTTGAGTTTAGAGAATCGGGGGCTAGGGTTTATCCATTAGAGGTTAAGGTATAGTATCATAACCAAAACTCGGTTTAATTCATGGTCTAGATGGAGATATCTCACAAGAAGTACCTGTAGTATAGTATACTCCAGGAGTACACAAGTCTGACCCATATATATATAGTGGCTTCTACGGTACCCCGGGTGAAACCGGGGTACCACATACCTTTAATATGAAAACGCTATCTAGATCTCAATTAGTAGGATTTTTGGGCTTGATATTAAACCCTAACCCTTAATGAGTGAACCCTAGGTCCTAATTATAAAAATAATAAACTATAAACCCTAAGATGGCGCGTTCATTTTTTGCCTATATTTGAACGAATCATAACCGTCGATTATTGTTTCTAATTATATTGATCTTGGGTATAAGATTTAGAGAATAAAGCCATATATTTTGATCTTTAGGGGTTAGATTACAGTATCAACTGTATCATGTCCGAAAGATCATTCAATTCAAGGTCTAGATAGCATTGTCATACTCAAGATATGCGGTACCCCGAATTTCACCCGGGGTACCGTAAACTCACCATATAGAAATTCGGGGTACCGCATACCTTAAGTACGAAAACGCTATCTAGACCTTGAATTAGCAGGATTTTTTGGCATGATACTATAACCCTAAATGAGTGAACCCTAGGTCCTAATTATCTAAATCATAACTATAAACCCTAAGATGGTGCATTGATTTTTTGCCTATATTTAGACGAATCATAACCGTTGATTATTGTTTCTAAATGATTATTGTTCATTTAGGTTTGTATTAGTTTTACTTGGCTATAAATAGCCTTCTATTTTCGTTGTAAGAACTAAGACTTTGATTAATCGAATTGAAACCTTTAGGTTTTTGCAAGTTTGCATACTTGTGTTGAGTTTGGTGGATTCCAAGCTCGTTGAGCTTTTGTATCGATCAAGAACACGTTGATCATGGCTGAGCATCTATCCTTATATCAATCGAGCCTTCCCCCAGATGTGGAATTGCACGTTTGATTCCGTTTTATCCCAAACAGCCAAGAACATCCATTTTTTGTTCGAGTTTCGTTTTAATCAATCCAATCCTTGGATTGATTGTGTTGCTACGTACTTTGATAAACATACACCCCCTAGGGGCGTATTAACCATGACCACTATCCTCGAGGACTTGTTTTCTGATGAACTGTGTTTGGTCAAGTGTTTGCCTTCACATCGCTATATGTGTAACATAATGAAGGTATATAACTTCTCATTTATACGGATATAGGTGTGTGTATATGTGTGTGTATATATATATATATATATATATATATGGATGAATTGATGGTGTTAGAAATTAGAGTTATACTTCTAAGACATTAAGCACAACAACTTAAACAAAAGTAACTAATTCATTGACTCAGAACACACAACGAACATACACAAAATTTATGACGCGACAGTTATATTTCAGTTGCTCGAGGGCTATGTAGTTTCACGAGATAAAGGCTTTTATGTATTATTGTTATGAGAACTTTTCTTTTTTATTTCATCCCCTTAGACACTACTTGAGTTATTGAATTTTATAGCACTCTCCTAGAACAACCTGAGCAGAAACTTTCAAAAGCATTTCCATGAAAAGCTGTAAATTTACCTCCTCTCCCACATTGATCAATCCATGTTTTTGGCACTGTGTTTGTTCCTCTTAGGGTTCATTTGAATGGGTTAATTTGCAATGTGGTATTTGTAAGGTGAAATAACTCATTTTTTCTATATGTGGTATTTGTGTTTTATTTGAAAAAAATGAGGGTTAAATTATCTTGTTTAGATGAAATTAAACAATGATTTATTTCATATGTGGTATTTGCTAACATATATGACAAAATAATATAATGCCCTCAACTTAATCATTATCCATTCTACAAACTTACTCATATGAAATTCATTCACTGAAGAATAAAGTGTCTTTGAGAAAGATGTTTATACCTCAAATGAATTTACCACCCAGATTATTTAGTTAATCAAGTCCTAATCCTCAAGTGTTAAGTAAGCCAAACTATGCAACTCACGAAAGTTAAAAGGATCACAAAATTACAGAAGCAATAACATGTCCCTAAGGCTTGCTTTTATTTCACAAATTACAACAAGTGACATGCTTTTATCTCACAATTTTGTAGCACAAACACTTACAATGCTACACATAAAACTTTTAGTTGTTCTCTATGCAATGAACTAGAATCCAATAAGGAAACAATTAAAACTACACAACAAAATTGGCAAAAATAATGAGACAGTACAACAAGGAATGTCTGGATCTTTGGTTGCCATGTTGCATCATCAAACCTGCAACATAAGTAGCAGTAGTAGCAACCTAGCAGCAAATCTACAGGAAAAAAATAGCAAAACCCTGCAGAAGAACAACAAGTCAGATGATTATACATTTGTGACCACTATGAACATCATTTATCCTGCAACATGGCCAAACACCAAACCTTCTATTCCAATCATAAACAAAAACTAAATTAGCAAAGTAGCATTAGCTAAAATAGTTCTTAACAAATTGGCCAATCAACCATTGTCACCGTAAATTCCCATACACAAAGCAAAGTAGCAGTAGCTAATTAAACAAATGAAGTGAATAGAATCCAATAGTGCAACAATCAGAACCACACAACAATGAATGGCAGAGGGCTTTGGTTCATCTACTTCTAGCACAAAACCACTACTAACTAGCTTTCGACAAAAATAAGCACTCCTCTGGAACCAAAGTTTGTGACAACTTTGAAGGTGGAGATATAAAAACAGATAGTGAAGCAGACCAGAAACCCAATCGTCCATCTACTACTATTGCTCTATTTTTCACTCTCCCTTCTCACCGTAGACGTCTGATTTCTCTTATCATCATACTTCATCCAAATAGTTAATCCTCTATTTCACCAATTCCTCCACTAAGTAAAACCCAACCCCCAATTCATTGCAAAAATCCCCGATTACAGAAACAAAGAATTGCAACCCAACTCGAGATTCATGAAATCCTTCCATGAATGTCCACCCCCCCCCCCTCTCCACCTTCTTCATGGTGCACCTCTTAAGAAGAACGATCCAATCAGATGAGTCAAATAAAAACCCTTACCAAATTAGAAATTCGGAGAACAGCGCTGGTGAGGTAATAAAATAGAAACCCAGATTAAAAACCTCCGAATTTGGGTTCGTCATTGTTCGTCATTCGCTACCTCTAGCTTACTCTCATCCTCTCTATTCGTCGAATCCTATGTTGTGCCTACTCAAAACGATCTGCATATTGCCAGCAATCCAAAGGTAACAGCCTCAGTAAATTTTGTTTCGGGCATAAAAATCCAAGGATGAAGAAGAAGGAAGGCGAGAGGTGAGAGAAGAGAGGCGAGGGGCATTATTGGGGGTGCATAAACGCAGAATGCGTTATTTGACAATCACTGGGTACCCCCCCCCCCCCCCTAAGTTATTTCAAATATTTGATGGGTTATTTACGAATAATGCAGGCCCAAATCACTCATTAGTCAATTTGATACCCAAACGAATTATTTTGGCCCAAATAACTCACAACGAGTTATTTGGGTCAAAATAACTCACCGGAATAACCCATCCAAACGACCCTTTATATTAATCAGAACAATAATGATTGTATCTGTCCAATTCTTTCTTATATGCTCAAATTAAACAAACAGTTGCCCTCAGACCCTTACTTCAGTACTACTAGGTATGTGTTCTCATTTGAATCTATCAAGTGTGTTGAGTGATTGCAACAACCCCTACTACAAATTAGGTAACCTGGTAATAATATGGTTTTAAGTAGTCTACTATTCCATGAATTGTAGATTTCATAATTTAGGTTGCATACCACAAACATTCACTTTAGTGCGAACAATAATTTTATCGTTGGATGTGCATTTTTAACAATTTATTTAGCCATCATGCCTCAATTAATTCAAGATTCACTACACTGTTGTTTCTATTTATTATTAGGTTCCACGGTGTCATGATTGCAAGTGATACTTCGAATGCAATTGATTTGGTTTTGCTTGATTGTGTGGCTTTCAAATTTTTTAATATTTTGTTGAGGAGTTGGTGACAAGGAGTGAAGCTACTAATACTAACAACCCCCCACCTCAAATTTTGGTGGCCTTATGCAAAGGATTTAAGTTTCAAGCCAAGATTACTGAGTATGACTACCCTCATCCTTCAAGTAAGCTTAGTGTGCTGCAAATTATAGAGTAGATTGACTCTAAAACTGTTGGTATAAACGAAGTTTCTCAAGATTGTCAAGACAAATGGTCAGGTACTTTTGTCCTCTATGTAAATTTGATTTTTTCCTTACAAATATATGGTCTATATTCAGTGCGAATACATTGTACTCATTCCTATTCTATTGGTCGGTGTAGGCTGAAATCATGACTGCACACTCCTCCTCCCTGTCTATCACCACCACGTCCACGGCTTTCCACCTCCACTACTCTAGGTCAACGCTCCAACTCGAGACCCACCTTCACGATGATGATGATGATGATATGGGCCACTGCAACAGCGTGATGGCTGCCTATCTGGATGACTTTTTCACAACCCAGTTCCACATGGTCAACGAGCTCAAGAAGAAGACGATTAAGAAAGAGAGGAGGCTTCGGAGAAGATGTCAAAAGTCTTGATGTACATCTAGTATTGTATATATATCCTGATTCATCTTTCAGTATCAAATAACACTGTCATTGACATTTATGTTTGGCACGTATGATTATCAGGAGTCTATTGCGGATGTGTCCGTCGTGGACCTCTCCCACACGGTAAGCGAGATGATGCGGAGGATCGAGGAGGGCAATGGTGAAGTGGAGGGTCTGAGTGCTATCATGGTGATGAACGTGCTAGTGGAGAGGGCATTAGTGCCAAAGAAGTGGAAGATGGAGAGGCTGTTGCAGAAGGCGGATGATCAACGACTCACACGATTAGGTCAATCATTGACGACATTTTGACTATGATTTAGTATAGGCTCTACCTTGACTTAGTCTTGTACTTTGGTATATACTTAGTGACCTTACGGCTATGTATTTTTATCGGATTTCCCCTAAGGGACACCTTACAACTTTATAGGAGAATTGTATTTTTTAGAGAAGTGGCTTTAGCCTATAATTTCTTACTTAATGTATTTGGGTGTTTGATTTCGAATTGGTAATGATTGCATTTTATTTGGGTATACATTAGTACATTACATAGGAAAATGCTATAAAGAAGGTGTAATATAGTACAAACTGAAAAACATGATTCTTTAAATTGCAGGGGTGAAAATTCGAGAGGGGTGCAAGTTGAGGGGTATATTGCTGGGTGCGAATTGGTGAGGGGATGTAAGTGGGTGTGTAAATTGTTGTTTGGATGAAAAGGTAGCGGGGTGCAAATAGACTGAAAAGTAAGTAAATTATATTATTATAAAATAGATATATAAAATTTATAAGAGATTATCACAAAAAATAAAATAAGAATTAATATATTTTAATAAAAATAATTATAAAATAGTAATACTCAAATAATAACTAATTATAATAAATGTAATAATCATTGGTAGCAAGGCCTCGAAGCTCGAAACCCAACTCGTAATTGGTCATCCTACAGGGTTCTCGTGCTTAATATAACCACAACTAGTCATCCTATACGGTTCTCGTGTCCACTTTAAATTTGATTAGGTCAAACTTACATAAACACGTTCGAATATGTAAGTTTTAACTATTTAATCATGTAAACTTAGTTAAACATGTTCGAAGATGTAAGTTTTAACTATCTAATCATGTAAACTATGGTCACAAAACCGGTGTGAATTCGAAATATAAAATCACGTTAGAATATGTAAGTTAAACACTTATTCTTTTTCATTTTCAGCGTAATTTCGAGTAAATCAAGATGTCTTGATTTGACTACCAGAACTATGACAAACTTAGTCACCGGAGTCAAAGGTGAACACCGGACAACATCTACATTAATAATAACGCAATGTTATAAAATGATGATAAAAATTCTTATGTATTTATAATAATTAATTTTTTATTGTAATTATTATAATCATTATAATATAAAATAATTTTTAAATTATTATAATAAGAAAATAAAAATCAACATATTTTTTACATTAACTATTTCTCATCCATCCTCCCTCACTTTCTCTCTCCTTTTGCACCCCAAATTGGAGGGTTTAGTGGAATAGTAGATTTACCTCTCATTTACCCCTCACTACTATTACAAATTTGCTCCCCCTATATTTGCATATCTAAACAAACATAGTGTAAAAATTGGAATGAGAATAATTTGGAATGAGATTTTATGTTGGAGTTCATATTGGAGCTTTAAGTTACCGAATTTGGTCTATCTGCACATTAGTTGAATTGAAGTTATTGAATTTACCACTTTTATGTTCTCAATGTGTTGCTGCTGTATGAAATCTAATAAGTTTTAGAAAATTATGTTGTTCTCTTGTCCAATGATTCTCTTTCAAATCAGAAGCACCAAATATGTACAAGTCGGTCATTGAATACATTCAATTAATTAACTTAACTAATCTATCTAAAATTATTGTGGTATATCAAATATTAACGAATCTAAAAATTTCATTTTCATATTTAATGATGTTCACTTTCAATACATACAAAAGAAAACAAAATTCATCCGACCAACGGGCCGGGTAAATGCTAGTTAGTTCATATGATGGGTACTTGGTTTTTATATGTACTATAACAAAAGTGATTGGTTTACTATGATAAGATGACTCATGATAGGTCCTCAAATCTATTATAACCAATTAGGCATGCCCTATAAAGCCATAATAACATCCAAATCCAATGTAGTCAAATACGCGTTTCTACGCAGAAGCGGAAACATGAGTAAAAACGTGAAAGCGTAGCGTAAAAATGCAAGTTTTTGTGTATAATTTTATTAATCTTCAACAAACTACATGTCTCATGTAGAAAGGTCACTAATCATGCAGATAACCTAATTTAACAAACTTTTAATAGTAGAGCAAAAATACAAGTAAACCAACAATGCAATGAGGAAATAATGAGGTTCTTCATTCATAAAAAAATATAACCAATTAACAATTGCACTTCATTATCGACCATTTTGTTTCAGTCTGTATGTCAAATTAAACGGATTACTGCGGTTTCTTTTATTATAAAGTTCTTCATCCATTGAACCCGGAACATTAGATTATTAGTAAATATTAATCATTCAGTCATACCTCAAACAACAAAGTAATCACTTGATGAAGCTATGATGTAACATCCTCATCCCTCTTGAACATGTCATATGTCATGCTCACATCAAGGTAACGTCATTCCAATATTTGAGCGATTTTTAAATACGATGCAATCGTTGAATTGATCACTACAAGACAACATGTATTTTATGTGGGTTATTTTTTGTCTTTTCATTTAACCGACACAAAATGCTCCATTGCGTCCCAAATTTGTGTGGGTGGCAGAGCCGACACAAAATGTATAGTATGTTGAGTCGGTTTATATTTGACTCGGTCAAAACCAACATAAAACGTGAGGTAAATAATTAAAATGCAAATATTATATTTTCGGATAAGAATTTTGAGGTTATGGCTCCAAAACTTTGCGGGAACTTTTTCACCAAATTTTCATTTGCGTGATACAAAACCCCAGGGTTTCCCCCTTCCTTCTCTCAATTCCCTCTCTACTTGCAAACCCTCATTCTGACCATCAAACCTTCACGACATCACAATTCCCCCAAAATATGAATTGATCCCTACATGACGATCACAGACGAAGACGACGACATTTGCAAGGGATTTGGGAGAAGGCTGAAAAAACTTACGGCGACGACTTCGACTCGCGACAAACAGACGAAGACGACGATAATTGCGGGTGATTTGGTCGAAGGCTAAACCAAATAGACTGTGACGACGGTGACGGCGCAAGAACCGGTAATTTACTAACGTAGATATTTCATATTGGGGATTAGTTCTGCTGATAAAGCTTTAGTTTGTTATCATTCAATTCTAGGTTTAGAACCGATGTTGTTCGCAGCTGGTAAAGCTTAAATAATCAAATTCAATTTTGCTTGAATATAGTAATTGCTTCTCAACTCCATTATGCTTGTACTCACTGCCTACTCATCGTCCATTTGAACTCACTTGTCTTTTCTGGGAAAACTAGTCCATCAAAAGCATTTGCCAAAACTAATAACATTAGAAGTGAGCCTTTGCTGTTGTTCCAGAAAGAAGGCAATAGAGTGATGGGGGTACATGGTAGGGAGGAAACTGTTTGGGGAGAGCAGTTTATGGACGTGAATGAGATCCAGTCGTACAATAAAAAAGGCTGCTTCCAGTCTCCAGATAGCAACCTTAGGTCATTCGATACAACACTTCCAGTCTCCACAGCCTTTGCTTTCATTGCTCTGGATATACTTCTCTATTTCTAAGCTCGTGTGAAGTGAACTAAATCTTTCTAGGCTGAGCATTCTTCTAATCCTAGTGCAAAAGATATTCTCAATGACAACGATAAAATGGAAATCATACAGATCATTTAGTTTTAGATAAAATGACCTCTTACATGTTTTGTTTATTTCATTCATATGTGGTTGCATATGGTTTCTTATATTATTATTATTATTATTATTATTATTATTATTATTATTATTATTATTATTTCAGGCCATCATGGTTTTCTGCAAGTCAGAGTGTGTGTGTAGAACAACCCTCTTTTGGTTTTGTTTATAATAGTTGAATCAAATCTTTAGTCTTCTGTTTTGTGCTGCCACATGATCTGCGTGCAGTAGGAAAGGAAATAGAAAACCATTGGCTTATTCATGTATGGTACCTCATTTTATTAATATAAATGATTGGGGTGGGGCAGCTGCAAGGCTGATAAATGACGTTTTAGATGGGAGGGAGGTGATAAATCACTCGTTGCTTTTAGGGAGGCGATTGACAATCTCACCACCTTGCTACCAAAGAAGGGAGCTCTATTTTGATGGGATTGCTAGCTCTATTTTCATTTCAATATCTCTAAACGGTTAATTTAACTTAATATACCTTAAATTCTTATAGTATCTTGTTGTTGTATGTGCAGTTATATCTTAGAGAAGTATCAAATCAGTTGAGGCGTGAACTTGTCAGGAGAAAAAAACTTTTGTTTTCCAGGTAAAGAACTTCATGCTAACTTATCTGTCTTTTCCTATTTCAGTTGTTTTACTTTTTCTGATTTATGTTTCGTTTTTGGAGTTAGATCTCAATTAAAAAGATAAAACTATTAAAGCTTTACGACTCAAATAAAACTATTAGTTGCTTATTAACTCAGTTTAGATGTATTCTCAATATCACTTCGGATTTTCACTCTATTAGGGATTACATAAATGGATATGTTGTGGATTGCTATGCCTTATAATACACCAGAATGTGTGGCTGGATTAGAGCAGTTTTTAGATTTTGCTTATGCGCACAATCATGGTGTCGAGGTCATATTGTGTCCTTGCCCTAAGGGTGGCTTCAGAAAATGGTTAAAAGGGAATGAGGTGTACGACCACTTGATGAGAAAGCCTTTTCCAATATGTTACACTATTTGGTTTCGCCACGGAAAGTCTCATGGGGAGACCTCTATTGCGCCAACTATTGTAGGAGATCCTACAATAGTTGAAGATAGTAGCCTCAACCAGCTGAATGCATTGCATGATTTAATTAATGATGCATTCGGAGGTTTTGGAAAGCGTGTTTTACCTGGGGGTAACGATGTAGAAGATCCCATGGATGAAGATCAAACAACAATACCTGTTACGAACGAAGAGCCACAGGTTCGCCCTAGAGTTTTGTCGACTTTTAAAGGATGATGAAGAGGCTTTGTACGATGGGTGCACTAAGTTCTCAAAAATGTCCTTCTTGCTAAGACTATATCAGGTCAAGTAGATGTATAAAATCAGTGACAAAGTAATGCCAAATATCGTAGAGCTACTGCATAATGCCTTTGAATTTGCAAAAATTCCAGCAACAGGATATGCTACCGAAAAAGTCATTAAAGGTCTAGGGTTATCTTATACCAAGATAGATGCTTGCCCCAATGACTGTATGTTGTATTGGAGGGCTGATATCAATAGGAAAAAAAATGCAAAGTATGTAAAAAGTCAAGGTACAAACAGACAAAAGATGGTGGTGATGTGTCTCCTACCGATAAGAAGAAAAAACCAGCTAAAATCTTTCGGTATTTCCCCCTAATACCTAGGCTGCAAAGGCTATTTAGTCTTCTAAAACTGCTGAAGACATGACTTGGCATGCAAGGGAGATACCTAATGATGAAATGGCCAGACATCCGAGTGACGCTGAAGCATGGAAAGATTTGATTCAAAATATGCATATTTTGCATCTAAACCTCGCAATGTTCGGTTGCTCTTGCTAGCGATGGATTCAATCCTTTCGGGTCGATGAGCATCAACTACATCATTTGGCCAATAGTCCTTATCTCATACAACACCCCTCCTTGGTTAGGCATGAAGCCAACTAGTTTTATTCTGTCCAGCATAATCCCGGGGAAAAAAATGGTTGGGAATAATATAGATGTCTACTTGCAGCCACTAATTCATGAGCTGCAAAAACTATGGGTAGGTGTGCAGACTTATGATGCGCAAAGAAGGAAATTTTTACAATGAGAGCAGCTCTAACATGGACAATTAGTGATTTTCCCGGTGTAGGAACATTGTCGGGATGGAATACATATACTGGTTTGGCTTGCCCCTCATGTAATTTTGATTCTTTTCCTTTGCGTCTTCCGCATAGCAATAAGTGGTGCTTCATGGGCAGCCGTCGGTTTTTACCAAATGGTCATCGATTTCGAGTTCAAAAGCTTAGATTTAATGGAAAGGTTGAGGATAGAACTCCACCAAGTCTTCTGTCAGGTTCTGATATTCTAAAGCAACTACGACATGAGGAAGGTGTTTAATTAATTGGGTTATGTTTACTCATTTTAGATCTTAAAGAATGTGAAGTGAATTGAAAATTGAAGGGGTTAATTATAACAAATGGAAAGTTGGATTGTTTAAGTGGCAACCAAGTTTTTGCTTTATTTGCAGTAAAACAGTGAGTTCAAGAGGGGATTACAATACAATACGATGTTGGATCGTCCCCAAATTGGGAGGACACGTTCCATACTTTTTGGGATCTGATCCAACTATTGGGATCATTTTTATGATTTACAATTCGTCGATAAATATTGCTGGTCAGACAGGATGCAACCTTGTTTTCCTATAGATGGGAGGATGTTTTCAAGGAGGATTCCAAATAAACCAACCGTTGGATCGTTCTCAAACTTAAAGAACATATTTAAGAATTGTTTTAGGTTGATTTGATCGTATAGATCGATATTCTAATCACTAGTTTGTTGGGAGAGAGGAAGTGAAATTGGTTGGAATTCCTTCAACTAGAAACGTACAAAACATATCAGAAACACATTTTTGACCGCTTTTATATTGTTTTTACACACAATACGGTTTTAAATAGAACCTAAAGAGTTTTGCCTAGTTAGAAACGTAAAAACTTGCATTTTTGCTTTTTAAGACGCATTTTTACTATATTGGTCACATTTACTATAGACAATGTCTTAATTACTATATGCTAAACCCTTAACCATTAATCTGCAAATATTATGATAATCAGATTGGTAAATAATCAAGTATATGGTATATAATGTAGAATAGTCTGCATTTGAGATAGTTCGAGTGACTTCATTTATTTATTTATTGAGTAGCTCATGATATGTTCTCAAAACTACTATATCCAATTAGTAATGCACTATAAAGCTATAATAAGAATTTTCATAGAAGATATCTTAGTCACTAAATGCTAAACTCCTAAACAATCATATGTAAATATTGTGATAATCTAATTGATAAGTAATTAAGTATATTATCTATAATGTAAAATAACATGCATTTGAGATAGTTTGAGTGATATTATATTGAAGAGAAAATGACTCATGATAGGTATTGAAATATAATATAGTCAATTAGTCATTCCATATAAGGAGATAATATAGCCAATTAGCTTTGACCTACACATAAAAGTTCAATATTCATATTTGAAAGACTAATATTATGAAACACTAAAAAGTTGAAAGATCAAAAAATTTCTCTTCTTTTTTATTATTTAGTAATGTTTGGTGAGAACGATGTGTTGTTCAATATGCAGGTGGAGGCAAGGCTGTTGCAGCTATTATTGCTTTTATTAAAGATGAGGTGGCAGTGATGTTGGTGCAGACACAGTGGCTCGCTTTTGGTCTAATTAGCAAGACTCTTCTCTGTTGTCTTATTACTCTTGGCTATTATAATGATAGAACTAGTAGTATAGTACACCAAAACTTTTATACTTTTTTTTATAATGGCGACGCAAGTTTTATTAATGATTAAGAAAGCGAGTTAAAGGAGATACAAATTTTTTCAAACGAGTACAAAAACCAGATGATCTGCATATTGACTTTGTACAATACACTTCTAGCACTCTTATCAATTTGAGCAAGTTGATATGCATAAGTTGTCCCTAATTGTCTCAAACTGCTGCCACAAATGCACTCTGATGATATGTAACTTTTCCTTGAATTGCCTTGCCCAAACTACTTGTGAACACAAGCTTGTGTTGCTGCTAGCCGAATCAGAGACACCCGAAAGTGAGGTAGCTGACACTAAGAGATGATGAAAACTCCAAAATCCTGTCAATATTTAGTAGTACAAACCCCTTCTTTTTCCAAGCATAGCCGCCAGATGAAAACTAAAATTATGGAGTGCCTATCCTCACGCTTGCAACTGTGCTACGCCTCAAGTGCATGGAGGAAAGTTTTAGTGCACCATTTTTTCTGATTGGCCGCCTTCTTTCTAGGCCAATTCTGGATTGTCTGTGTAATGTCGGGCCCACATGATTTGACAAACACAAAGGCCTGCAAAATGCCACAAACTCTTCGTGCAAAACAGCAGGTAATGAAGATATGAGAAGCGTCTTCTTCACTTTCACTACATAGTACACATTTGCTGGGGAAGCTCCAGCCGCGTTTCTTTAACGAATAATGTGTGAGTATCTTCTTTTGCTGCACAATCCAAATGAAAGTACACACCTTGTATGGGATATGTCCTTGCCAAATTGTTTTGTACGAGAATTCTTCCCTTTGTGTGAACTTTTCTTTCACCAATCAGCTGTAAAGGATCTCAAAGTGAAAGATGATGATGATGATGCTGATGTTGGTTGCCAAATCAGTTTATTAGTTCATGTAGAAAAGAAGGACAGATCAAGGGTGTTCAGTAAATTCATTAGACTCTCCCTCTCTCTCCCAGCCCCCTTCTCAGAGTGAATTTCAAAGGTAAATCCCACACCAAAATCCCAATTTCAATAAGAACCAGTTGTGAGATCTTGACAAGTGGGAAAATAACAATTTCAATAAGAACCGGGTGTCGTGGGGCGGAAGCCGAGTGGAAGTCCTAGGTACGTCGTTGGCAAAAACTCCCAGTTGCAACCAAAGACTTCAACTAAACGTTTCGTTTTTTCCACCTCTCCCACCAGGAATAACTTGATTTTCTCGAGATTTACTTTAAGTCTTGTGATACTCTAGAAGCAAACTAAGATAGCCAACATATTCATGATCTCTTCTTCTGTAGCGTCACAGAAAATAATGGAGGCGTCAGATAAAGCAAATGCGAGACTTCACCTCTTCTATTCCTTTCATCCATACAGAATCCCTTGACAAGGCCTGCATCGCCAACTTCCTGAATCATGAAGGATAGCATATCCATAGAAGAATGGAGATAGGGAATCTCCCTGTTTTAGGCCTCTCTCGGTCTTGAAATAGCATGCATCTTCACAATTCACTAGAACCGATAGCCTTGTTAAAAAAACTAACCCTTTAACCCATCTCTGCACTTTGGGATCAAATCCCATAGATTGCACCAGGTTGAGAATACACCCCCAGTTAACTGTATCAATTTTTTTTTCTATGTCAAGTTTCAGTACCACCCCCGGCTTCCCACTTCTTTTCCTCTTGTCTATCAATTCGTTGGCCAACCAACTTGCTTCGTGCAATTGCCTCTTTCGGACCCCTGCAAACTGACACCTTGTGACAATCTTGTTCATGAGTGGCATCAGTCTTGATATCAAAACTTTCAAAATGACCTTGTTTAGACCTCCAATTAAATTTATTGGTCTGAAATCTTTTAACTCTTCCACTGCATCTTTCTTCGGCAAAAGGCACAGTAAAAAATGTGTAATACTCTCTAGTATAATACATGTAAGATGAAACTCATCAAAAGCCTTTAGCAAATCCCTTTTAATTACGTTCCAACACTTTTTATAGAACTCCAATGTATATCCATCCAGTCCCGGGTCTTTGTCACCCGCACACTCTTTAATTGCCTTCCAAATCTCTGCTTCGGTGAACGGTTGACATAAGGCATAGTTGTCATTCGCGTCAACGACTCTCTGTAACAATTAAGGAATGGTCTTTCTTCCTTGTCTTCTAAGAAACGCTCCTTGTAAAACTCAGATGCTGCCAACTTCAATTCCTCTTTATCATCTATGAGTTGCCCGTTTACCTTGATAGTCTGAATTTTATTCATGCACTGATTATTCTTTGCCATCTTCTGAAAGAAGGAAGTGTTCTTATCACCACCCTTTAGCCAGATTTCACACGATTTTTGATGCCAGGCCAATTCTCCCTCCCCTACTCCAGGTAAACGAATAGCCTTTCAAAGGTAAATCAATCAAACTGTTCTTATTGATCAGCTTGTTGAAACTCTCCATCAGCTCTCTATCACATGGGAGACCTCTGTAATCTTCTTCCGATCTAACCAAATTAAAGTCCCCAATAATGCATAAGGGTTCCACACAAAGATCGCTCACCATTGTAAACTCCTTTAAGAATTCCTTATTGTCTTCTGTTTCCTGTGGCCCATAGACACCTAGAACTGCAAACGGTTCTCCCTGCCCATCCTTTTGAAGTCTAACCGCAAGGGAGGATTTTTCTTCCCATCTATCCAGTAATCTGAATGTCCCTTTATCCCAAATAAAAACAATGCCACCACACGTACCAAATGCATCCTTGGCTGTCCATTCTGAATTTCTCCTCCCACTAACAGAATTAACTAACCCCTGTATACAATTCTCCCACTTAGTTTCCGAAAGAAATGTTATTGCAAAGTATCATCTTCTAATCAAGCTCTTAACTTTGGCTCGTTTATCACTGAAACCGAACCCACGTACGTTCCATGACAAGACCAGGGATTGCATCATGATTCTTTTGATGAGTTGGCAGCATACCTGACTTCAGTCCTAATCTAAAGGGTGCTGTTTTTCGCGTCTCCGTTTGAAACTCCGCTAATTAACTCGATCTTCTCCTACTCCGGGTTGAGACACTTTCACTAGGTTGAGGCCCGAGCCTATGCCTCTCCATTTCAGCCTTAGACCTCGACACTATCTTCTTCTTGCACTTGGCTTCTCGAGCAAGATCCACCACAAAATTCTCGGCTTCCTCCTTTGAGTTTCCCACTTCTAGCCCGAAAAGCCTGCAAAGCTTCATGCTAGAGTCAACCATATAATTTGTGTCTTACAGCAATCTCTCATTGGCGCTCCCCCCCATGTGGCTAGATAATACAGTACTATGACAAGATGATTGGAATCAAGATTAGGTGAGGTATTCGGGTTAACCGGTTTAGGGGAGTGGAAAGAAACTTCAATAGGTGAAACAACAAGGTCAGCATGTTCCGATTGAAAACTTGGTTGGATACATCTATGGTATTACAAGGCGATAAAGGAGTCAATAAGCTTAGGTTTGTTGGGGAAATTTGCGAAGTTGGGTTTGTGAGGGACATTTGTTGGGATGAGATCAATGTTCAAGAAAGTGGTAGGCTTAAAGCGAGCGTTGAGGCTCTGCCTTGCACCTAGCACGCTTAGCGGCTTAGGCGAAGTAAATGTAGAAAAATATATCACATTTGTCTAGAATCACAAGTTTAGGAATTAATATAATCGCATCTACCTCTCATTTCTGAAATTTCATCATCAACAACACATGGTAAAACATAAAACATAGTGTGGAGAAAATGAGTAAGGAAGAACAAGCTGGAAATAACAAAGCAGATTGAGAGAGAAAAAGCGCAACAAAAAAACTACTCTTAAGATGTCGTCTTTAACTATATCCTAGCCTAACTATAGAAAAATCAAGATCGTCCTCACTAGTAGCATATCAAAAGGTAGAAAAAACATCATGACATCATTTTGAGGCATAACTCTATGTTGATTAGGCACCACCGAGGCCACAACGTGATCATGATGCATTCTTTGCTGCTTTTTGCCAAAGCGAGGCGTTATCCTTATGACTTGCGTCTAGGCGAGGTTAAGCGAGTGCCTAACTGTGCTTTTTAGAACCATGGATGAGATATATGGGGGTTGGAGAATGGGATGAAGGGAGTATAGTGTTGTATACATCTTATGTGACAGAGAAGTCGCCTAATAAACTTGTTTTTTTATGAAATGAAATAAACTAATTCATAAATAAAATCAAAAGCACCAAGTTTTCCTCTTCTTCCCTCCCAAAAAGTTGAAAACACAAAAGAGGCTAAATTACACGTTTGGTCACTCAAATTACATAAAATTTTCATGTTTGCCACCCGAATTACTTTTCTTTCTTATTCGCCACTAACTTTATGAATCATTTCACCGTTAGACTACGTCAGATTCTGTTAACTCCGTTAGTTTTCTCATGACGTGGCAAACGGAACTGCTGACTGAACCGTTATTTAATGACATCTCGACTAAAAAAAATAAAAAATAAAAAACTGATCACTCATATTTGCCCAAGAACTTATTCCCTCGTCCTCCACCGTCGGCGTGGACCATCTACACTCCAAATCACATGTTCCTCTTGCCCCCATCCCCCATCGCTCCGACGTCGGCAATAGAAAAGCTACAAAACTCCAATAATAACACCGCTAGTGCCAAAGCCAAACCCAGAGCTGTGAGGCAAGCTCTTCGCCGAATCTATTCCGGCGAGCGGAAGAAGATGGCTGATCACGGGTCAATTTCTTGAAAAACATGGCACATAGCCATATCCACCCTCTGTCTGGGCTATTCTCCTGCCGACGAACAGACCTAGATAGAGAAGTACTGGTCATCGGATGGGAGAGTGACCAAGTGCATCACTCAGCGACTTGTAGATCTGGGTTGGCTTTGAACGATGGGTAATCTGGCGATGATGAATGATATCGCCCCGTCTACGGAGTTGGGTTTGCTAGTGTTGCCCTCTGCTCCCGTTCATTATCCCGTCGACGATGAAGAGCTGGGCCTGCTTGCAATCGTGTGGAGGTGACGATGATGCTTGTCTCGCCCTTTCACTCCCGCTGAGGAATTCACCAGAAAATTGAATTGGTTATGGATGGGTTATGGGCTTGTCTTCTCGGACTACTCCCCTGTCTTCGTCTACCATTTCACGGAAACCAACCCCGTCGGTGGGAAGAGGCCGTACAGAGCAACCACCACCCCCATCTCCACAAGACACTTGTGCAGCGGCGAAATCCGGGGGAAGGAATGGAATTGGTCTCGGAAGGGAATAAAAGAGGATTTGGGAAGCCTTCGAAATCAAAGCATAGAGCGAAATTGTCGTCAAAATTGAAGGAGGAGAAATCGGAAGGGATTAAGTTGTGTTGGTCGGGTTTGCGGAGGAGGAGAAGAAGAGAGGGTCGAGGGGATAGAGGAGCGATCAGCGAAGGAGGAGGGTTAGGATCGAGGATGGATCCACCATTGTTTACCGCAATCGGAAGGGAAGAAAGTGAAGAGGAAATAGGCGGAGGAGCAAACCCTTCGGAGATTTCTTTCTTTATTTTATTTTATTTTTTAAACTGACATGTCATTAAATTAATGGTCCAGTCCGCAGTTTCATTTGCCACGTCATGAGAAAACTAACGGAGTTAACGGAGTCTGACGGAGACTAACGGTGAAATGATTCGTAAAGTTAGTGGCGAATAAGAAAGAAAATTAATTCGGGTGAGAAACATGAAAGATTTATGTAATTTGAGTGACCAAACGTGTAATTTGGCAAAAAATAAACCCTCTTATTTCTAAAAAAATTCTTACTTTTTTCTCTTAAAAATTGAAAGAAAGATATCGGGAAAAATTGAAAGCACCAATTTTTCTATAATTACTCTTCCAAAAAAGTTAAAAACAAAAAAAATTTATCCTTTTAAAATACTCAAATTATCATATACATTATTAACTCGATTTATATTTAATTGATAGCTTGGTTAACGGGATTAATTAACCATAATTTTAATGTATGTATAATATATTAATTTTATACAGGGTCTCAATTATTAATTATTAGTCATCAATATTGACATTGTGCTAATTTTATATTTCATATATTTTTTAATTTTGTTAAAGAATTTAATGTTCAAGTGAATTTATGTTTTAATTTTTATACTTATTAAATATACATCACTTGAAGTGAATTTCACTTTATGAAATGGAAAAATGGCTTTATCTAGTTTTAGAATAAAAAATTATATATTATATATATAGTATTTATTTATGTCATTTGGGATGGTTAGGATTGGGTTGATTGAGTCACGGATTAGTCGGGTTCGGATCAACCGTGTTGAGAGTTTAATCGGACAGATTGCCGGTCATTGACTTTTTTCAATTCATATTGTGGTTAGGTTGATGGTCGGTTGACCAGACGAGTTACTCGGGTTTGGTTCTCCATTGACACCTCTAATTCTGTGGGACCTTATTGTAATATTGCAATAGCATAGTAGTTAATGAGAAATGAGGAAAAGTTGGAAGCTATCTATTTTCTTCATGCTCCTCTCCTGTCTCCTCTTCATCGACTCAGTCTTCTCTCTCTCTCTCTCTCTCTCTCCTCTCTGTGTTTCTCTCGTCTCTCTCCCCGTACAGTGTTCTCTTGGGGTTTTCCAGATTTAGATCATTCCATTTAAGCTCCTCGAAAATTGTCCGAATCAGCCGAACCCCACGTCGTATTCTTCGCTGAAATTCCACCCTCTTCGACTCTTCCCCATTTCAGCTCGCCTTCCTCAAAGTTTCTCCGTCCTCATATCACTTCCATTTCTGTATATTCTCACATATACAACAAACAAACAATTACAGCAAAGCTCTAGTTCCCCCAATAATACTAGATGCAGGGGACCAGCGTAAATGAATTGGGCTGCTGTCAGCTGGCGGGCTTCTGGGTCGGGTCGTCGGGTTGATTAATGGAAGAATAATGCGGATGTTACGGTGACGTGATCTCGTGCCGTTTTGATTGATCTGTCTCGAGCTTTCAAAAGCGGCCGGCGGAAGGGCATGCATAGCAAAAATGTTGTGCGCTTACGTGGCGGCGGAGGAAGGAGCTGAGTGAGCGAGAAATAGAGGGAGGAAGAGAGGAAGTTGAGGGTGATGGCGACGGCGGCGGCGAATCGGCTGGTGGTGAAGGTGAGGAGGGATGTGATTGAGAGTTGCATGACGTGTACTATCTGCAACAGGCTCTTCAGAGACGCCACCACCATCTCCGAGTGTCTTCATACCTGTCAGTTTCCCTTCCTTCTCTGTTCCTCTTTTTGGTCAATTCCGTCGATTTTCTTTCTTCTTTCGACTGAAAACGTCAACTTGCGTGGCGGTTTCGTAATTATGAGTCAACTACGTGGCCTGTTGTTATGCATCCGTACCGGGGTTGGGTTGGGTTGGGTTGGATCCCTAAGCTGTTATCAAATTATGGCAACGATTGTGAAATGGGTTTTCGTGGGTTCTGCTAATTTCCATGGCGACAAGGAAGGAGCTTTATCGTTTAGTAATGTAGATGGTATTCTGTATTTCGGTTGCTGATATTTAGTTTCTGCGAGTCAGTTAATTGGGTTGACCTATTTTCAAGTTCGAGTCTGCGAGATGGATTGTAGTTTGTGGATTGTAATGTACTGTAACGTGTGAATTTTGTCATTGAAGCTCTTTAATTTGTTCCCCATCCGTTCCGTTTTGGCCACTTCATGCAGTTTGCAGAAAGTGCATATACAAAAGGATATCCGACGACGGGTTGGAATCATGTCCAATCTGCAACATTGATCTGGGCTGTGTGGCGCTGGAGAAACTGAGGTTGTACACTTTCCTTACTTCTCAAAATACTCTTTTTCATCTTAGCTGGTGGTGACACGCAAATTCCAAAGCTTTCGATGGAACTCTTTGATCCTTGATCGTATTACGTACATGTTATGCATTATGATTGCATAACAGCACTCCTTTGCATGCTGAGATGGACACCGTTATGTATCATGTTGCCAGTAATTGGAGTATGTGAAGTTGCAAGGTCGAGTGTGGGTTCATGCTCCTTGTCCCTCTCTCTCTACAATACATTTGACCTTTGTCCTTTCTGTTCTATACTTCAATATATGGCCAGCTTGAGTGGAGGATATGTAATTGCTTTGTGGAGAAATAGATGTCATGGGGAGTTCAGAGCCAATGGGCTGTACAGTTTTTTATAGTTTCAGTCTCTAGTTTCCTAGGTGTAGTAGGTGTTGGTCTGCTTCTTCGAGGACTAAAGAAAAGCCAATGAAATGAAATTGGACGATCTTTCATTTGGGATAGTCCAAAACTTTTCCTGGGTTTCCTTTTTTCTTCTTTTTTCCTCATTTGAACATTGACAAATGTGTAATTTGCCAAAAACCCTTTAGCTCTCTTGAGATTCTAGACTAATTCATACATCAAATCAGGGCGGATCACAATATGCAAGATGTAAGATCAAAGATCTTTCCATTCAAGAGAAGAAAGGTTGAGGCACCTGATCACATTACACCTGAAGTTACTTCTGAAGTTTCACCATTGGTTCCATTACCAGTTAGAAGAAAGGAGAGATCGCTCTCATCATTAGTAGTCAATGCTCCAAAAGTGTCGACACAGAATACAACAACTGGAAGAAGAACCAAACTTGCTCCAAGAAAAAGTAGTTCTGCTACAAGGAGCTGCAGTGTTCCCTCAGATCATAAACCCATCACGAAGGACGCTGATCACATTGTGGAAGATTTCCCTGAGAGTTCAAGTTCACGAGAAACTGATAGGAAATTCAACAAAAATGGAAGAAAGGTAATGAAGTTGAAGTACATGTTCTTCCTTTTAGCTGGTGATTCTGCTTTACCTATCTAGTTATTGTCAACCACAAGGTAACCAAACCATCTTGCTTGTTTTCATGCAGAGTTCATCAGCTGAGCCAAGCCAATCTGCTTCTAATGCCGAGGCACCAAATATTGGTGATGAACCATTGGATGGGAAATCTAATCTCTGGCAACCTTTAAATTTTTTGGTAGAAGTTGCAAGTATGACCAAGTCTTACAAGTGTAATAATAATTCACAACTTCCTGATGTTAAATCAGAATCTATTCATCTCCCTGAAAGTGAACTTTCAGTTAGAAAATCCAAATATAGGGAAAATAAGGACAAGTCAAATGTTGACAACGAGAAGATCCAGATCTATTCTGATTCCCAGGAACCAGAAGAACCAAAGAAACAGCGCAGGATTCGCCGAAGAAAGCCAGCTGCGAAGGATTCTGGTATCTCTTCCCAAGATGTCCTTGATGCATCAAGTTCAAAGCAAGAAAGCAGGGTCACTCCTGTTTGGTTCTCACTGGTTGCTTCTAGTGAACAGTAATAATCCCATCCTCACTTTTTCCCCTTCCAAATTTGAGTTTGAAAAGAGTGTCAATATGCGAAATTTCTGTCAGATTTTTGTTTCAGTTAGTTAAATAAATTTGATCACAGATATTATATCACTGTTGTAGGGAAGGAGATGCATCTTTGCCACAAATCTCAGCAAACTACTTAAGGATTAAGTGAGTTCTCTTTTACTTCATCTCAACCTTTTACAAATTGCAGTTATGCTTTTTACATTTGGATGTGTTATCTGGTTTTTATGGTTCTGGTGATATTTAATTGAATTAGGCAGACTGGTAATGTTGAGAGAAATTCTTGGATGTCATGTAAACAGGAGTGAGTAGAACTTGTAGATAGCTTGACAAACCATTGAGTAGGTGGCTCCCTCAGAATCAATTACCATTGTTTCAGGCTTCAGATAGCTTTGACAAACCATTGAGTAGAACTGGTAATCATGATGCCTTATTCAGGCTTCAGATTCTCCTGAAGTCGTATTTCTTATGTTTCCCTTCGCCACTACTTCGGTTTAAAAATTTAGAGGTAGGCTGGACAAATGTCTGAGTTGTGAAAGCCAATCCCTTTTGAAGGCAACTATGCCATTGGTAGTTGTTTCAGTTAGAACCAGATTACACCCTGTTGTGAACCCTTCTAATTGGGGTTGGGCATTTCCTCTGTATAAGAATCATAATCATTGAAAAACCCTTGAATTGAAGAAGTTTCATAAGTTTTGGGTCTACTAGTGAGAGAATAAAATGAGGGAGGGATGTGATGCACCACTTTTGCTTATGTATAACTCCCCCATCTTGAAGTCAGGACGCCATGCAACAAACCCCTAATCTTAAATCTTAGTTCATTTACTGTCATGTTGGACTTTCAGTTAGTTCATGCATATTCCCAGCAGCGAATTGATCATGTCGACCGCGGAAGTATTGTGAAAGAGTAACTGTTGTAGCATGCTCCTCGGGGGTATTTTGTTCCCTTTTTTGCATAATTCTATGTTGCCATTCTGAACTTCCTAACATGGTAGCTCTGTTCTCTGATTTGGCAGTGATGGAAGTATACCTGTCTCATACATCCACAAGTACCTGAAGAGGAAACTAGACCTCCATAGTGAGGAAGAGGTAAATAACAAAACAGAAGCCTGTTTTAAGTTTCAACTGGCGCTGGTTTGCTAACTCACATTCTCAGAACCCTTCGTTTGTTCATTCCTTCCTCTTCCAATTGAAAACCCCATCTGTGATGTCACTGTCCGGTCACATTCACTTATTTTGTTGGGTATACCTCAACTCTCCATGATTTGACTGCTTGCTTGCCCCTGAAGTTAGGTTACTTAGTAATGTTGATGTGTTTGCTTACGACTGTTGGGTGGTGTTACTTCATGAAGTACAAGTTCACCCTACCCACAATAAACGGCAGTCTTCTGCTTCCCTTTGCTTAAATGCACAAATGGAAAGTAAAATAGACAGTGTTCATGGTTTCCAATTCGACTGAACCTTCCTTGCTCTGCTCATTCTTTGACTGTTGCAGATTGAGATAAAATGTATGGGACAACCAGTCGTCCCAACGTTGCAACTCCGCAATCTAGTTGACCAGTGGATCCAGAAAGAATCATCATCAGAAAGAGCCGCGGCCAGGGTTGGTTCGTCGGCCAAGGAGTTCGTTATGGTTCTCGCATATGCCCGAAGGGAATCAAACAGGAGCAATCACCCACCCTTTGGTTGATTGCACCATACACATACGGAACTGGGTTTTCCCCCCTAACAGTCGGGCAACAACACCAGATAATATACAGCAGAAGTGAGGGCTCAACGAGTTAGTCACCGGCACAACACACCACAATACCACATACAGCTAGTTGTCTTTGTTTACATAGTGAGCCTGATGACATTTTCGTTTCTGATTCTTTTACACTTGGGAAACATTTTCCGTTCACTTTCCAAGGGGATGTAAGACGGCCAATCTGGCGATTCATAGTACTTTTGATAGACAGAACGTGGCGGGGACTCCGAGGAATCTATCCCATGGTACTTTGAAACAGGCTACGTGGAATCTCGCAGTCGGCCGTGGATTCTTTCTAATCGTTGGTGACACGTTCACCTTGTTGACCGAGTGGATGACAACTATGTTCGTTTTCGTCATATTCAGACAACTCATTGAATCAAAACAATTGTTTTTAGTTGGGGATTTGCAGATGGGGGTGACGTTAATTTTCAGGAAATATCTGAATTCTGTTGCTTTCGTTTCGTTGGGGGGGACTTCAGTCGGCATCCGGCGACTTTTTACTTTTTAAAGGGTACAGTACTAACCATGCAATGAATGACTGAATTAATGGTTGACAGTTAATTCCTTAGCCGCTTCTCCATTGTGCCAACCAGCAGCAAACTGCCGCCTGTGAACAGTGAAATGCAAAAACTTCCAAGCCCAAACAGATAGAAGCTGACAAATCCAGCCAGCAAATTGAACAGCACATACATTGTGGTTTTCCTTGTTTCCAGTTTTGTCCAAAAACGAACTGATAGATGTCATGCAAATAAACAATCAAACAAACAGTCAGATCAGCAGGATCAAAACCATATCTGTTGCCATAAGGAGGTTGAAGGCCGCCCACTTCCTTCACCATTAACACAACTCCAAATGGAAAGTAGCAGAGACAGGCAGCATCACTTGAAATCCAACCAAGAAAGAGGAGCTGCCCATGTGGGAACTGGGAACTAGCTAACTTTCTCCTTACAAGTACAGTAATTGAAGAGAGAAGGTAATCCACTCCACTCATTAGGCTATGTTGGCCAGCAACATCAAGTTGCGCTTTTGTCATCCATTTTCCTGTTCAATAATATAATCTAACTGCCTTTTTAAGGCCTACTTTCCTTTCCTCACATGCAATGAAAGCCTTTCTTCCCCACCACAGGATCCTTATGGGTGGCCATCCCAGATACTGTGGTTAATACAGTCATCCAGACAAAGCTAATTCTGTTGATCAATCTTAAATCCCACCTCAATCCGGAACAAAGCACCCTTACTAATCCATACATGTTGTTTCATCTGTGCCCAATTCTGTACCAAGTTTCTGTTAAACCTTCAGCACAATGGCAAAACTGAAATTGTCAGACCATCATTACGACTGAACCAGAGAGACAGAGAGCAGCAGAAGCAGTTCAATTGTTAAAACAAAGTTACCCAGAAGCTAATTTCGTGGAAAAAACCCTGAATTCATAACGAATCACCCCCTACCAGTATACATGTTATCTCAACTAATTCAATCTAATCAAGAAAAGGGAAAGACAGAAACCTACTGTGGAATCAAGTTTCTCAGACCTATCAATCAGATTTACAACATCAAGTAAGCCCAAATCATTCAGTGATCACACGAAGTTGAAAAAGACAAAAGCTTAGTGCTCCATTTGCTAACCAGGCCAAAGAGAAACCACCCGCTGCCGGGGCAACCACAAAATTGCTTCAAATGGGCGAGTAACCAGTTTTGGTAGGGCTGCCGCCGACGAACGAGAGCAGCCCACCGCCTCCGGCGTCTACCTCGTCCACATACAAATCCTCGGTGCCTCTAAACGCGGCGTGCAACAGGACAATCGCGAGCCCTACCAACACAGACACCAACACGTTCAGCCACACGCCAGTAAAGATCAAGGCGACAACGGTGGCGACGGCGAGCAGGCCGAGTACGACGCGGTCGTCGACGGTGCGGCGGAGGATCACCAGGGGCTCGTCGCGACAGAAGAAGAGGAACAGCCAGGCGACGAGGACGATTAGGAAGGCGATCATGGAGAAAGGGTGCCAGAGGAGGCTGACGAAGAGGATGAAGAGGACGGCCATGGCGTAATTGACGCGGAAATAGGCCAGGTTGCGCTTCAATCGGACCATGGCTTCGCCGATGGAGAAAGGGCGGGCGAAGGAGGAGAGGCTGACGAGCTCGCGCCATGGACGGCGGGTGGCGAATAGGGCGGTGGAGCTGGCGGCAGCTCGTGAGAGAAAAGTGCCCGGCGTGGGGGATAAGAAGGAATCGTAGCCGTAAGAGGTCGGCGGAGGAGGAGAAGTGGGATCGGAAGCCATGTCGTGGAGGAAATGGGGGAAGTTAATAGAGCTCTCTGAGAAATGTCAATCTCTCTTGGAAGTGTTTGGGTGAAGTTCAAAGGTTCTCTTTAATGGAAAAGAAGAGCAATTTTCCAAGCCCCGATGTTCGTTGGCGGTGACAGCAAACAAACGGCACCATTCCTTAAAGTTCGTATAATCAGATCAAACGAGCAGATTCGAGTTGAATTTTGAGAACTTAGCTTATTAGAAAATGAGTCGAGTTCGAACTTGTTTTGTATAATAAAACATTGCTTTAACCAGTTCAGTTAGATTCGAGCTCGTTTTATTATTGATCGAATTTAGCCTCCTCATTTATGATTCTAAATGGTGAACTTCTACCATAAACTTGATCCAAGATGGGTCAATTACCTTATAGTGCATAACTAGATCTAGAGGGGTGGATCTAAAGAGTGAGAATAAAAAAGTTTTTCTTATATATTTTTCATAGTTTTCTTAATTGATTTTTATCTTTTTCGTTCTAACTTGAATATTAAATTATTTTGCACATATGGAACTAGTTTGTTGTGATCTATAAAATCATATCCATTTTCGCTATATTTTGATAAAAAAAAATTGCATACCACTCATACAACTCATTACCACTCAGTTACCATCTTTGCACCACCTTGTTTTAACTTGAATTTTGAATAAGTTTGCTAAGAGTGAACGACTTCATCATGATCTATTGCATCTATAAATTTATGAGGGAAATTTACAAGACCAAATATATCACCTTATACCACCCTCACCCTTATAAATAGCATAAGCATGGTAAAGGAAACCGTACCGGAAGTCATACCAGATCTGTCAGCGGTAGGATATTTTGTGGTATGACCGTGATTCAACCGTTGTGTACCGGTAAAATTCCATTTTTGTAATTAAAAAATATTTTTTTGTTAAAAAACGTACCGACAGATTCAGGATACCGTTTCGGAGTAATACCGGAATAAAACCGGAATATACCGGATAACAAACATGAATAAACTAAATAGGCATATGTAATATAACAATCAACAAACTGCAACATTACTGAATTAACTACATAATCGTTCAAATGCATGTTTAGGATCGAGTACAAACAACCAAACAACATTCTCAAACCACAAGTTCAAACAACATTCTCAAACCAAACAACATTTCCTTTTCGTTCAAAGTACTAAACAACCAAACAACATTCTCAAACCACAAGTTCACAACTACCACAAACTCAAACTCACAAGCACTACAACGTTCCATATCTTCTAATAACACCAAATGTAGAGAGGTCTACATTCTGCAAGTCGTCCCCTTCATCTTCTTCATCACCAACTACAATACATGAGAAAAGAAGTAAGAATTATTATCAATTATTAGTATTAGAATTCATATCATACATAATTGATTTACAAACAAACCTTCCTCTTCTAATGCTCGTTCCAGCTCATCAATATCCAATTCTTTGTCCCTAGAAGATAGATTTTCTTCCCTTTCTGACAACTAGTGACTGGTAACAGTAGAATCAATGCTTTCAAGACTTATGGGATCATATGATTCTTTGTTGTTCTTGGTATAATACTCCCTAATAAAAGTAGAAAACATAAAATAATTCAATTCAATAGTAAGCATAGAAAGTATGAATTCAACAATAATTCAAATCATTACCTATTCTGCAATCGCAAGTTGTAATTCACAAACACCAAGTTACTAAGCACTTTATGCTGCAATCTGTTTCTTCTTTTGGTGTGCACACGTTCAAAAACACTCCAATTACGTTCACAACCAGAAGAAGCAGCAGTTTGGCTAAGAATTCGAATAGCCAACTTCTGAATATTTGGAGCATCAATTCCAAACCATTTCCACCACTTATCTACATATAAAACACTAGCTTTATACCCGCCCGTTGGGCGGCAAATTTTGATTGGTTATTATATTTTTCGTCCTAGTATTATAATTTTATTTATGATTCATTATGTTAAACTATTATACATTGAATTGTTAATCTCACTTACCAAATTTCATATATTGTTTCACATTTTTATATATTTCATTTATTTATGAAAATTTAATTTTATTAAATGAGCTATTTGTAGCACTTTCTTTATTGATTTATAATTATGTATCCAATCCATCATTTAAGATATAAACTAAGAGATTATTAATTTTTTAGCACACAAAGTGACAAAGAAGTTAAAATTTTGAAGGACACAAAAGAAGAAGTTAAAATTTGCAAATATATTTCAATTAATAAAAAAAAGTGAAGAGCTTTCATTTTCTCACCCTTCTCGTACGTTGGTATATGATAATCGAGAATATCGCGATCTAGATCCTACAAATATCGTGTAGTATCAGTTACCCGTGTAATTTTGGAAGAATGAGAAACCACATTGGCATCCACATTATCAATCTTCCGCTTATTCGTTTAATTTACCTTGAAAATATTCTAGCAAAACCAAGCACAAATAAAACTATTGTTTGTCACTAATTTATTAAAACTATGTTTTCAATAAACTAAACTGCATATAATCATAATTTATATTTTGTAGAGAGCTGCATACCCCGCCAAAAGGATCATGTTTTTCTACCTAATAATAACATAAATGAATAGTAAAAGTTGTATACTTCAATATAACTCAAGTCATTATATCTTGCAGAGTCCCCATTGTGAATCGAATTGATGCATCAATCCAAATAGTAGTTATTATGAAACAATCAGGCCAAAATCAAGCTTTAGTTAGGGATTTAATTAGGCAAAATTCACGCTAAGGAAACAAACCAATGTCATTACAAACGTCTAGAAATGGGGGAAAACATCAACATTTACTACCATTTTATTTCTTCTTCGCGCCCTTTATAAAATCCCAAATATGTTCCCTCCTACTTATAACCCCCTGTTACATACTATTTACTTGATCAGATCATCGTCATATAGCTAGCTAGTAGCTTGTCACTCATGAACATAATAAACATAATGAACAACCCTCACAACTATGCTTTCCATCTTTACATCCAAGGAATCGAGTTGCAATAGGCCTCCAAGGAGATCAATTATTCAACCAAAGGAGAGATGCTCCAAGTCCAAGCAACGAACCCTTTGAATTATATGTTACATGTTTTTTTTTTTACAAAAGATAATCTATCATTGATTAAAGAAGCCAGATAGTTACATCCTGGAACACAGCCAGGCCTGAAAGTCAAAGAACCGACTCGCAGTCGGGTACAAAGAAAGGGCCTTACGAGCCACCAAATGGGCTACCCTATTGCTACCCCGACCTACAAATATAATACTAAACCCCGAGCAATCTGCCAAGTGATGAATAATTTCAGCAAGAATAGCACCAATCCGACTATCACTAGCATCCGCATGGTTGATTTTGTCAATAACGACCTTGGCATCACCCTCAAAACACACCTCCATTAAACCACGAGCACGACACCACATGATGGCATCACGGAGCACCAACACTTCTGCCACCATAGCATCATCAATACCCGGGAACTGAATCCCCTCAGCCACTAGGATTGCCCTAGTCGGAGACAACACCACAAATCCCCCCGCCGAATGGGACCCCCTCCTCGTAGCACCATCCCACATGCAAACCAACGTCCCCTCCCCCACCAAAGCTGGTTGAGTTGGTGGAGAAACCCTAGGAGGAGGGCCCCGATCCACAGGTAGCCCAACCCATTCCTCATACTGCTGACTGTACTGACGCATTAGCGCGGGGAAGTCGAACTGCTTGCCCTCAAACACAACCCAATTCCGAGAACGCCAGATTCGCCATAGGATAGCAACAACCACCATGAGGACGGAGGGTTGGTTAATCAGAGCTAACAACCCGCTTCAGGAACAGGGGGAACGTGTGTTTCGGCAAGCCTTCCCCAAGGGAAGCCAGACCCGAATAATCCCAGAGTGCCCGAGCCACCGGACAGTAGAGGAACAAATGTTCCAGAGTTTCCGACTCAGCCCAGCATACCGGACATCGAGGTAAAACTGGCACCTCCTTCTCAATAAGAGCTTCCGTTGTAGGCAGCATACGATTCAGAATTTGCCACACAAACACTTTATACTTAGGGGGCAGGTTCGCCTCCCACAGTCTGATCCAGCTGGCCTTATCCATCCAACTAACCTCAGGCCTCCAGCCCCCCTTTCTTCTATCCATGGAGACTGCCAAATGATAGGCCGATTTCACAGTGAAAACGCCCTCCGGATTATAATGCCAAACCAGCTTATCCGCCACCGGTAACCGCGGGAGGGGAATCGATTTGATGGCCGCACAGGTCGGAGGATCAAACCATTGACTCAACTTCTGATTGCACCATCGGCCCCCGTCGGGATCAATCACCTCAGCCACCACCGGCCCGTCCACAACTGACACGACCTGGGGATTATACCGGGGAGGATTTATATGTTACATGTTTACATCAAAGTATACAGGATAATAGAGAACCATAAAACAACTACCTGAATAACGAAGAAGAAATACAACCATTGAATCGAAAAGGGAAATTTACTATCCATCCGCCGTAATCTGGAAGATATTAAGAAAAGAATGGGAAGAAGACTATAACTCGGCCAGTCAACCGCTAGCAGTCAGATATCTCCGAGGAAGAAATATCAATTGCCCACTGCGGATTAGATCAAAAGGGAAGAGATGCTCCAAGTCCAAGCAACGAACCCTTTGAATTATATGTTACATGTTTACATCAAAGTATACAGGATAACAGAGAACCATAAAACAACTACCTGAATAACGAAGAAGAAATACAACCATTGAATCGAAAAGGGAAATTTACTATCCAGCCGCCGTAATCTGGAAGATATTAAGAGAAGAATGGGAAGAAGACTATAACTCGGCCAGTCAACCGCTAGCAGTCAGATATCTCCGAGGAAGAAATATCAATTGCCCACTGCGGATCAGATCAAAAGGGAAGAGGGAGAAATGATAGGTTGGACTTTTCTTCGTCCATAGGCAAAAATATGTTAGAGTTGTTCAATTCTTTCCCAACAAATCATTGCATCATGTAACTCCCGCCTCCTATTCTCCTACGAAGAGGAAAAAAAAAATATGCCTTACCATTTCCTTTCCTATATCTATATACAAAAAAGTAGAGAAGACAAATTCTAGAAACTCAAAATTTAAGTAAATACGAAGAGAGCTTTATTTGTTTTGTGGGGCTTGATCTAGTTTCTTTATTATCAATGTTGTGTTTTATTTTCAATGTTGTATGGGAAAAGGAATAGGAACAAACCAAAATGTTGCATTCATTTTTATGAACTTAATTTAATTTTTATTTTTTTTTATAAAATGTAATAACTCGTAGAAACATTGTGACGTTTTACATGCATTTGAATTCTTGAAAGTATTGTAGACATATCTATTAATATCTAAGAATATGTATAATGATTTTATTTTAATTTTAACCCTAATTAATACCTATGAACTCGGTTCATCGACTGAAATATGAAAACAAAATTTTGTGGCTAGGATAACTCGATCTAAATACAAATTGCTTACTGTTACTAACCAAAAGATTTCCATTTTGAGACCTCGATATTGAAAAAGTTTTTGTTATTGCCAAAATTTGGTATGGAGTCACAGACTCACAACCATATAGGTGGGGTTGTTTGCTTGATGAATTTGGAGCTATCGTGAACTTTTTCCAACCATTGCTTGTTTCATGTATTTAGAGGCAACAAATATGTGGGTCTCATGTATTTTAAGGTTTCAAATTTGTGGGCCCCACAGACTTGAAAATCTCACCTCTTTAGATGGAAATTCATCATGGAATTTGCAGATTATTATTTATGACCAACCTACCCCTCATATTTCATTTCCCTTCTCATACCAATGAGGGTAATATATGTCATTTTCACTTCCAACATACAAATTCAGTTAACCAAATGCATAATGAAATCTATGAAACGAAATATGGTATTTTCAAATACATAATGAACCAAAAACCTTCATATATCCATGCTTTTACAAAATCCAAGTTTTATTAAAACCTTGAGTTTTCAAATCCACGAAGCAAACTATCCCAATGTTTTCTTACAATTGTCTTACTAAACTCATCCTTATTTAAAGATTCTTTATTTTAACACAATACCTCAATTCAGATTCTTGTAGCTACAAAAGTTTTTTGTTTAGATATCTCAACTAACACTTATGTTTATTATTGCCTCTATCCTCGAATTTAGATTTGTCTACCAAGACATCAACTATTAAATAAATTTTTTCAACCCTTATTTGATCAATGCTAAGGTTAGTGGTTGATGAAACGTGATGTTTATCGTATATCCTCAACGAAGATTTTCTTAACTTTCACACGTGTTGTTTTTTAAGTGATGTTGTGTCTCATCTTAGGTATGAAGTCACAACTCGACAAAAATCATACTTAAGTCACTTTGAAAACTTTGATGTAATAATGTTCGACAATAACTCCAAATCTGAAAAGAAATTACTTAGCATTCGACTTATGACTTCAATAGAGATTGTTCAATTAATATGATATAGAGTGAATATTTTTATATGAACCCTAGGACAAATTATAAAGTATTGCACACATGATTCCTCTTAATTTGAGAAACAGAAGATAGAACATGAATATATATTTTCAATTAATCATGATGAATAAAAAGTTTTTTAAAGAAAGAACTATTATTGCTTAGTCAAATTAATATTCAGACCTTTTACTATATAAAATTTGTTTTATTTGATAGAAATATACATTAGAAATAATTCAACAAAAAAAAAATACATTAGAAATAAGAGAGTTGTTAATACAAAAAATATAAATTCATATATTTCATTTTCAAATTCGATTGATGAAAATATTATTATATATGTGTGTACTTTTTTAATCATTTGTTTTCAATGTTTCTATTGTAATATTTTGTTTAATTGATACAAATATTATTATATATGTGTACCTTTCTAAATTTTTGTCAAAATGTAACTTATTATTAAGTTTTGGTGAAAATGAGTAGAAAATTTACTTGATAAAATTTAATCATATATTTTTTATTTAAACAAATTCTATATGGTCACTCTCTATTTCCATCTTTATATTTTTTTTAATTGACAAAAATATTATACTTTTGTGTGTTTGTTTACATTCTCATAAAAATGTAATTTATTATTAATTTTTATTAAAATGAGTAGAAATATTAAAAGAAGAGAGAGATAGCTCCATAAATAGATCAATAATGAATTTTTTGTTTGCAAAAAAATTTGTCCACCTTGGCAACTTGTGAATTCTCCAAGTGCTTATGTGGCAAGAAGTTACTTTTGAATTGCCATAATATATAGTATAGATAGATAGATAGATAGATAGATAGATATAGATATAGATAGAAGATAGATAGATAGATATAGAAGATAGATAGATAGATAGATACATGTTAGTTTCTTAAAAATTTTAATAAATAGAAGAACTTCAATGCAAGTGATATCAGTTACCTGGTTATTGTTTCTGTGCAGAATCTATTGCCATCTTCCTCCCAAAGTTTCCAGACCGTTCAACATACAAATTCATCTCCGCCACCACCACACTATTATCAGGACATAAAGACGAGTTCTCAAGAAGATTAAGAAGTTCAAATGTAACCGCCCTATCCTTTGTCCAATCATCAGCATACTTAATAGCTGGATTAAGATAATGAGCTGCCATAAACAAATCACGGCTCAAGTGCTTATCCCATTTCCTATAACGATATCCACATATGGCTTGTACATCTCCGCCTTATCTTCACAAACAGTCATAATAGCATTTCACACCCTAGTCATCCCATCATACACATTCCCCATTGCTGGTTTACTATCTGAATCCACACCTCGAAGCAACTTAATAATTGGAGCTGCCAACTTAATGATGAAGTCACAATCAGCCCAAAACTGTTGATCGAGTACAATTACCTTCACATCCTTTCCATCCCTAGTAGTTGAAAGATCACTTTCTCTAAAGAACTCACTAATCACCAATTCCTCCAAATCATGCATGTGCTCAAAAGTATTTTGCAAACTCAAAAATGTAGTAGCAAATCTAGTAGCACCAGGTCTCACTATTTCTTTCCAATTCTCCTTTGTCTTCAACCAGAAATAAATTGGACCATGATTGTAAACAAATTAGGAGACCTTGGTAGCTCGATAGGCAAGTTTCTTAACATGAGGAATAGATCCAATGTAACTCAAGATCAAGTTAAGAGTATGAGCAACACAAGGAGTCCAATATATATGACCATAGTGCTCATGCATCATTGTCCCTGCTAATTTATAGTTGGATGCATTATAGGTCACCACATGAACAACACTCTCCGCTCCAACCCAATCAATGACTTCACAGAATAACTTAAACAAGTTCCTTCCACTCTTGACCAAACCAGAAGCATCACTGGACTTCACAAAGCATGTTCCAGCAGGAGAATAAACAAGAAAATTGATTAAGGATCTACGCCTATTATCCGTCCAACCATCCGCCATAATAGTGCATAAAGATTCCTTCCAATGAGACCTCAAGTTCTCAATCAATAGCTGGCATTCTTTCACAATGCTATCCAACAAAGTAAACCTCAAAGCATAATATGTAGGACCGCCATAACCAGGACCAAGAGTCATAGAAGCATCCAATGTTATTTTAAATGGTGGACATTTAATTGCTTCTAAAGGAACACATGCATCATAGAACCATCTAGCCCATGCTCGATCCACATACAATACAACTTCTTTAGTTGCTAAGGCACTCTTTATTTTCGGTTGACTACCGGAAGATGACCGTGGAGCAAAGAAAGTGTCAACCGAACCCGGAGACACATTAGAAGCAACTCTTTTACTATTACCATCATCTTGTGCACTAGAAGAATTTGTATCATGAGGTTCTTTAAAATCCAGCTTTGACAACTTCAGATTTCTTCTTATTAGTTTCATAATTAGTAAAAAAAACTTCTGCATGTTTTGGCTCACCTCTTCCGGAACCACTGAGCATATTGCATTATCCCCACTAACACCAGCTAGATGTTTTTTTCATTCTAGTGATTCTTCCACCTCTAAATTCCTTTTGACAATAGAGACAAGTGAGTACCTCAACTTTTCCGTCTTGATGAAGAGAACAATGAGCCCAAGTTGGATCACTTTTACTTCGTACACTCTTTGCGGCAACCTTTGGATTACTAGGGGCTGCTCCTTGATCAACTGATCGGGTTTTTTCTCCACTAGTCATGCTACAAAAATATCCAAAATTCTCATTTTAGAATAAAGGGCAGAACATTATAAATAAAAAACTCAACATTATAATTAAAATTAGCCAAAACATCCAAAACATTCAAAACATATCTGTCGTGTTGTTGTCTTGAGCTGTTGAGCATTCACAGTCACCCTA